CAATGCGCCCGCGAACCGGCAGTAATGCCGGCAGGAAACCACCACAAGTGAAGCTACCTTTTGCAATTGACTAACCGGGAAATTTGTCAATGCCAATGATGCTCAAGGGCAGCTCCAGTTGTTTTGGGATCGCAAGGCCTCTCTTCTGATTTGTTTTATAATTTAGGATTTGATTTTTCTTTATAGCTAGTCCTCATCTTACGACGGTCCACTTAGCGACGGTTCAAAGTTACAACGGCACTGAAAAAGGCGACTTTTACCCCCTTTGCAGAAGCCCCGTGATCACCCAATCAAAATTCAGAGGCTCGGCAACTGATTCATATTTGTGACGGTTGCCGTGTCCCAAGGTCCCATAATCCCTTTTTGAGAACTTTGGACAAGCAAACTCAATGGGGAAGCCTGATCTGCTTAACAACCGGATTACTAACTTATCATCTGCAGCGATTCAGTTAAGAACCGAGGCAAGCGAAGCCATAAAAGGGGGCAAAAATTCACTTATCAAGGGTCTCACTTAACCACATAAGTTGGGGGCTCCGTCGTGGTCGTAAGCCGAGGACTACCTGTGTTTTAATTATTTTATTTGGATCTCAAAGGTGGGAATTGCAACCCAAAGGGATTCAATCTTTGCCCACATTTAATTCTCTTTGGCTTTTCCCCCCCCAGAGGTTCACAGCTCCAGCGTGCAGAAGAGGGAAGCTGAGGAGAAGACAGTGCTGAGCCAGATTCAAGATGCAGCTCAGGGCTACGTCGATTACGTCTCCGATGTGACAAATTCGTGGGTAGAAAAAGTCAAATCCTTGGACATCAGCCAGCGAATTCTGTAAGGAAACGACAGGGGCCTAATATTCCTTTCCTTTATGTTGATATTATTTATTTTATCCGTCCTTTGTTTTATCCCTCCTTCGTTTTATGCTTTCGTTATCCTTCTTTTATTTATTACATTACTAGCTGATAACTTGGCGTTGCCCGGGTATTTATTTATAGGGGGGAAATGTCCAAACAAAATGTAATTTCTAAACTTAGATTTTCTGTTACGATACAGCCTGTTGTGCCTTCAAATGGCTTCTACTGTACTGCCATAAAATGGCTCAGTGCTGTGGAGTCGCCATGGCAATAGCTTCACAGTACTCCACAAGGGGGCGCCCTGTGGTAAATCTAACATTAGAAATTAGTCCTTCACCCAAACTAATGTCTAATGTTAGATTTTCCCTCTTACCAGAGGGCGCTCCCTTGTGGAGTACTGTGAAGCTGTTACCATGGCGACTCCACAGCTCTGAGCCACTTTACGGCAGTACAGTAGAAATCATTTGAAGGCACAACAGGCTGTATCATAACAGAACACACACCCTGAGAGGGGTGTCTTACCCCCACAGTATTTGTTTCCAGAGTTACATATATATATATATATATAACTTGAAGTGGCGAGCATACCTAATACTCTTTCTTCTATTACTTTCCCCACACCAACCCTGAGGTAAATTGGGTTGAGAGGGAATGACTACCATCCAAAATCACCCAACTGGGTTTCATGCCTAAGGCAGAATTAGAACTCACAGTCTCCTGGTGATTGGCCCAAACTAGCTTTCATGCCTAAAATGGGACTAGAACTCACTTTCTCCTGGTGATTGGCCCAAAATCACCCAGTCGGCTTTCATGCCTAAGGTGGGACTAGAACTCACTTTCTCCTGGTGATTGGTCCAAAGTCGCCCAGCTGGCTTTCATGCCTAAGACGGGACTAGAACTCACTTTCTCCTGGTGATTGGCCCAAAGACACCTAGCCGGCTTTCCCCAAGATTGATTCAAGGCCAATTTTAGCTTCTCCTGTATTCAATCATTAGGTTTTTCTGGTAAAATTAAAATTATGATCCAACTTGGGGGGGTTTAAACATTTCAAGGAGTTGCTTATTTCAGCCTTCAGAGCTTTATGGCAACAGAGTGCCAAAAACTATCCAAAGCTAGATCTCTGTCAAAAGTCTCAGAGAACATTGTTGAAAATTATAAGTACTCCTTGACTTCCAACCACTCCCTTTTAGCAACTAGTTGCAAACCCCCCCCCCCCAATGATTGTGCGAATAAAACTCGGGCACTTAGTAATAGCAATAGCAGTTAGACTTATATACCGCTTCATAGGGCTTCCAGCCCTCTCTAAGCGGTTTACAGAGTCAGCATATCGCCCCCACAGTCTGGGTCCTCATTTCACCCACCTCGGAAGGATGGAAGGCTGAGTCAACCTTGAACCGGTGAGATTAGAACCGCTGAACTGCAGATAACAGTCAGCTGAAGTGGCCTGCAGTACTGCACCCTAACCACTGCGCCACCTCGGCTCTAGACCCCTGGTGTGAATTTACGCCGGTTGCTGGATCCGAGGGGCCGTGTGTGAGCCCCTTCAGCAACCTTCTCAGCTGGCTTCTGACCAGTGAAGTCAATGTGGGGGGGGTGGGAAGAATTCCTTAACAACCCCATAATTCACTTCACAACGGTGGTGATTCGCTTAAGAACCGTGGTCCAAAAAGGGGGACATCAACTCAACTAACTGCTGTCTGGCGTAGCTGCAGTGAGAGAAAACTTGGGTTCTGTTTTGGTCGCGTAATACGAGGATTATCTGTCGTGAGAGAAGAAATCTTTGTTGTTCCTGGCTGGTGATCTGAATGATGTCCTCTCTTCTTTTCTTTCCCAGGACCGGCTATAACAACTTCGTGCAAACTGTGGGCACTTATAAAAATATCCTCACCGATCAAGTGGTATACTTCTGGCACGATTAAGGAGCCTGCCACGCAGCCCTCCCCACGCCGTGTCCCTATGTGTGTGTGTGTGAGAGAGAGAGAGAGAGATAGAGGGAGAGAGGGAGGGAGGGGATGTTCCCAGCAATTCCCGGTCTGGCTTTCCATATTTTTTTTCCTGGGAGAGCGATGTTCTTCGGCTTAGCATGTTAATAAAGTTTGTTTCCTACTGAGACAACTCTCTGATTCCTGCTTGGGGTAGATGGCGGCGGGGGGGGGGGGTTGGACTAGATGACCTACAAGGTCCCTTCCCACTCTGTTAATCTAATCAAACCTCCCAACTCTGTTATTCTGATGACCGATAACCCTTTTCATGAAACAAAAAGAAGGTTGGGCTTCTTTAGTGAGATCCGAGTTTCCCTCTTTTGGAAGCTCAATAGCTGCTCTTTTGAGCAACGCTGGAGTAATTCCCCCTCAGCGTGAAGCAAGAGGCAACCGGTGATGTTTTGAAACCACCTTCTGGGCTGTTTACACGTCCGGTCCTTCTCCTTTTGCGCAAAGAGCATCAGGGTTTATTTTGATTTTATTTTTTCTCTTATCCTTCTCAGTAGGATGGGGAAGGAAGGCAAATGAAAGTGGTTAGGACAGTGCTTCTCAACCACGCACACTTTTAAGTTGAGTGGACTTCAACTCCCAGAATTCCCCAGCCAGCTTAGCTGGCTGGGGAATTCTGGGAATTGAAGTCCACGCATCTTAAAATTACTGAGGCGGAGAAATTCCGTTTTTGTTTAAACAAATGAAGTTGTGGGTTCACTGTTACTACTCATTCGGTGCTTTTTCTTCTTACTAGCCTTACTAGCATCTTTTTGAATCAGTTAACCCATGAGACAAGAAGCAATGGGTGGAAACTAATCAAGGAGAGAAGCAACTTAGAACTAAGGATAAATTTCCTGACAGTTAGAACAATTAATCAGTGGAACTACTTGCCTCCAGAAGTTGTGAATGTTCCAACACTGGAAGTTTTTAAGAAGAAATTGTCTGAAATGATACAGGGTTTCCTGCCTGAGCAGGGGGTTGGACTAGAAGACCTCCAAGGTCCCTTCCAACTCTGCTATTCTGTTCTGTTCTATTCTATTCTATTCTATTTTATTCTAATTCTTATGGTCAATATTCTTTCTAGCCAAGGAAAACTTACATTTTTCCGTGTAAGAATATCAGCCATAATCTTTTTCCAGATCCATAAAGAATTAGGTTTGAATAAACTTCTATTGTTTTTTTTCCTTAAGCGAATCCCCAGCTACTGAATTCATTTAATACTGATATTAAGCTTGGAATTTATTTATTTATATCCTATCTTTATTGTGAACATACCCAACACACTTTCCTCTTCACCCTGTGAGGTGAGTCGGGGTAAGAGAGAGGGACTGGCTCAAAGCCACCCACTTTAGTTTTCATACCTAAGGCAGGACTAGAACTCACCGCCTCCTGGCGATTGGCCCAAAGTCACCCCAATTGGATTTCATGGCTAAGGCAGGATTTGAACTCATAACTCCCGCTTTCTAGCCTGGTTCCTCAAACCAAACTGACTAATTGGATTCATTTCTGAGAGTTGCAGGATAACAGAGAGAAAAAACATGTAAAATTCACCAGCCTTGGCAACAACAACAACAACAACACAACTGCAACTACACCATGCTGTCATTTTTGTAAATCTGAAGCAAGACGCAAAAGAAGGTTTTGTAATTATTATTTTCAAAGCTGTTGCACATCGAGGAAAAAAAAACCCTTCCGCTCTGAGAAAAGGTGGTCCTTTGTTCAACAATCCAATTTTTTAAAACACGGGTAGTCCTCGACTTACGACCACAGACTGAGCCCCAAAATCCTGCTGCTAAGCGAGACGGCTGAATTTGGTCCCATTTTACGACCTTGCTTGTCACGTTGGCAAAAGGAATCGCTGTTAAGTTAGTAATAGGGTTGTCGAGAGAATCTGTTTTCCTCGTGGATTTCGCTTCCCAGAAGGTCGCGAAAGAGAATCACATGACCCCGTGGGACACCGTCATAAGTACGAGTCAGTGGCCAAGGGTTTTTCATTTCGATCACGGGACCACGGAGACGCTGCAATGGCCGTAACTGTTGAAAAACGGCCGTTAAGAGCTGCGGTAACTCGGAACGGTCGCTAAAGGAACTAACTGTCGTAAGTCGAGGACTACCTGTACGTGTGGCAGGCAACGGTTAAGGAGAAAGCTTGGCGGATCATCCCCGGTTACGCATGGTAGGGCGGGCCGCGCAGCCCTCAGATCATGACGGAGTAATCCACGTCACGGAGGGCCCTGCAGTCGGTCATTTGGCTAAAGTCCTCACTAACCGAACGGTGAGGCCTGGTTTGGCGACTCCCGCGGAAGATTCTAGAAAGTTCCCTTCGGAACTTCGCCCCTCCCAAAGCGTAGACCAAGGGATTGAGGCAGCAGTGGGTCAGGGCTAAACACTTGGAGATCAGCAGGCCATAATCCAAGACCTTCTCCCATCCACAGTGCCTCCTCAAGTAACCCAGGCGTTGAGAGAGATCCACCAGCATCAAGGAATGGAAAGGGGCCCAACAGGCGATGAAGGATACCCAGATGATCACCAGGAGGCTCAGCGGCAAATGCTTGCGCAGAAGACCCGCCTGGTGGAGCTTGATGAAAATCCGCAGGTAGCAGTAGACCATGGCTAGGACGGGCCACCAAAAACCCAGGAGGAAGAAAAACAGTTGGAGCCCCAGTTTCCAGGACTCGGCATCCTGGACCTCCAGGTCCAGCTGGCAGACGAGAGACATGGCTTCCCATACGTAGGTGACCGTCCGGAATCGGAGGTCCACGGTGGAGAACGCAATGCCGACGGCCCAGAAAAAGGCCGAAGTCAGATAGATGTGAGATAGCTTCACGAAGAAGGTGGGAGCGGCGCCCTTGGCCACCACGAAGTAGCGTTCGATGCTGAGGTAGGTCAGGAGGAGGATGCTGGTGTAGACGTTCATGGTGGTGAGACCTTCTGTCAGCTTGCAGAGGGATTCCCCAAAGCTCCAGCCATGGACCATCTGGGCAGCTCGGAAAGGCAGGGTTAAGACCAGGAGGAGGTCGGCCACCGCCAGCTGGAAGAGGTAATGGTCAGCAAAGCGCCAGGACCGCCGGCGTCGGCCCAAGATGGTCAGCACAGAGCTGTTGCCCACCAGGCCCACCACAAACACCAAGGAGAAAAGCACCGGCCCAAAATAGCGGGCAAAGGCTCTGGCTTCTGTGGGAAGGCATGGCTGTGCGTTGGGGTTCAGCATGGGCAGCGTGCCAACCTGGGAGGGAGGGAGGAGAGGAAGGAAGGAAGGAGAAAGAGGAATGGGTTGGGAGGAATTCTTAGAACATCCCAGATATACAGTATTACTTACACACGGTATTACTTACACACTGTATTACTTACACACAGTATTACTTACACACTGTATTACTTACACACAGTATTACTTACACACAGTATTACTTACACACAGTATTACTTACACACCGTATTACTTACACACCATATTACTTACACACCGTATTACTTACACACAGTATTACTTACACACTGTATTACTTACACACAGTATTACTTACACACCATATTACTTACACACANCAATCTGGGCCCTCATTTTAGTGACCTCGGAAGGATGGAAGGCTGAGTCAACCTTGAGCCTGGTTGAGATTTGAGCTGCCAAACTGCAGGCAGCTGGCAGTCAGCAGAAGTAGCCTGCAGTACTGCACTCTCACCACTGTGCCACCACGGCTCATAAGATAGTGTCTTCTCCATTGCAAGTTATACATGACTTTTGTCTGGAGGATCTAAACCTGGGGTGTTAAACTCATGGCATCATGTTGTCTTTATGTGACATTTTTCCCCCCTTCATTAAACCAGGGTTGGACATGGCCAGCACATGATACATTCAGCCTGCAGGCCATGATCTAAATGCGATCTGATAAGCTTAAGAATAGGACGTCTCCTTCCACGCACTGCAGACAGAGGCTAAGTTCACATTCCCACATGCTTTGAAGCACCTTGCAGGTGTCAGATCTGAAACACGATTCAACGGTAAGAGAGAATCCCAGAATTTTTAAAATCATAAGACCATTGGGAGATACAAAGATATGACATCCTGGTTCGCAACTGGGCCCTTCTCAATTAGATGATACCACAGTAGCTTTTGATGCATAGATACTTAGCTTCTAATGTAGAAGAAAGCTGAATGGGCAAACTTTAGAGAAAAACCAAAGATGACACACAAATTAATATGGAGAGCCGGTTTGATCTAATGGTTTAAGGCATTAGTATAGGAAACAGGAGATTGTGAGTTCAGGTCCTGCCTTTAGCCATGAAAGGACACTGGGTGACCTTGGGCCAGTCCACTCTCTTTCAGTTCAACTAACATTACAAGGTAGTGGTGGTGGTGGTGGAAATAAGTGGAGGAAGTTATGTTAGATATGTTGACCACCTTGAATTGTTTGTAAAAACAATAAAGGTGGGATACAAATAAAATGTAAAATAAAATAAATACATTATACTGTACATTTCCTTTTGACCACAGTTGCAAGTATTTAGTAGATATCAGATGGTGATAATGGATAATATTTTAGCCTGGCATTGTATTCCAAGTAGCTTCCAAGTCCTATGCCTCCCTCTTGGAGTTAATTATACTTCCAAACTAACCAACCCAACCCAACCCAACCAACCAACCCAAGCAATCAACCCAACCCAACCCAACCAACCAACCCAATCAATCCAACCAACCAACCAATCAACCCAACCAACCAACCAACACAATCAATCAATCAATCAATCCAACCAACCAACCAACCAACCAACCAACCAACCAACCAACCAACACAATCAATCCAACCAACCAAGCAATCAACCCAACCAACCAACCAAGCAATCAACCCAACTCA